CATTGCTGGGTAAAAATTCCCCAGAAATCTGGAGGGTTGAAATAACAAACATTTATTTTCTTATAGTTTTTGAGGGTCAGGAGTCCAGGAAAAGTTTATCTGGGTGATTCTGACTCAGGGTTTCTCATGAGGCTGTAGTCAAACTGTCAGCCAGGGATGCATCATCTGAAGCCTGAACTGGGGCTGGAGGGTCAGCTTCCAAGAAGGCTCACTACCATAGCTGGCAGTGAGTTTTGGCTTTTGGCTGGAGTGAGCACCTCATTTCTCTTACATTTGGCCTTTGATCCTTGAGGGCTGCTCTTCTCTATGTAACCTCTTCAGCAGAATAACCTTTACTATTCTACATGGCGGCTGGGTTCTGAGAGAGAGTCAGTGAGCAAGAGAGAGCAAAACAATTGGAAGGCGCAGTCTCTTTATAACCTAACCTTGGAAGTAACAACTCATCAGTTCCGCTATAATTCAGTTCATTAGCCATGAGTTGCCAAGTCTCATCCACACATAAGAGAAGGATAATTAAGATTCACTTCCTGAAGGGAGGAATGTTAAAGAACTGGTAAATATTTTTCAAAACTATAACTTCAGTGGAGGTGATGAGAGGTGGCCTAATTCACTATATATAAATACTATATATATATATACCTATTTCTTTGCTCATCCAGAAGAAGCAACTCCTCATCTATTCAAGTTTTATTGTGAGATTGCAATGATTCAGTCATACATATATATATTTTATATATATATATATAAAACTTTTTTTGTAGAAACAGTAGGATTTTGCTGTGGTAAAGGAAAGTGAGGAACTATATCAGTCAGGATTCATTCATGAGACAGAAACCACTGAGAAATTTTAACAGCACAAGTTTCATGTATTAAAATGATTTCTAACTAGTATTAAGATTAACTACAAAGTGTTGAAGACAACCCAATAAAGAATACAGGAAGAGCATATACAGGTATACCTTGGAGATACTGTGGACTTTGTTCCAGAACACCACAATAAAGCAAATATTGCAATAAAGCAAGCCACATAAACTTTTTGGTTTACCAGTTTGTACACATGCTGTGTTCACATTATGCTATAATGTGTTTTGTGTGCAATAATAGCATTATGACTAAAAGGCAATTAAGGCACATACTTCAATTAAAACATAATTCATTGGTAAAAAAATGCTAACAATCATCTGAGACTTCAGCAAGTCATGATTTTTTTGCTGGTGGAGGTTCATGACTTGATGCTGCTGACTGATCAGAGTGATGGTTGCTTACGTTTGGCGTGGCTGTGGCAATTTAATAAAATAAGACAACAGTGCTACAGAGATTGTCTGTTCTTTTCACAAAATATATCTCTGTAGCATGAAGTGCTGTTTCATAGCCTTTTACCCACAGTAAAACTTCTTTCAAAATCGGAGTCAATCCTCTCAAACCCTGCTGCCTCTGTGTCAATTAAATTTATGGAATATTCCAAATCTTTTCTTGTCATTTTAACAATGTTCACAGCATCTTTCCCAGGAGTAGATTCCATTTCAAGAAACCTGTTTCTTTGCTTATCCAGAAGAAGCCACTCCTCATCCATTCAAGTTTTATTGTGAGATTACAATGATTCAGTCACATCTTCAGGCTCCAATTCTAATTCTCTTGTTATTTCCACTACATCTGCAGTGAGTTTCTTCACTGAAATCTTGAACCCTTCAAAGTCATCCATGAGGGTTATAATCAACTTCTTCCAAACTCCTGTTAATGTTGATATTTTGACCTCTTCCCATGAATCATGAATGTACTTAATGGTATCTAGAATGGTGAATCTTTTCCAGGAAGTGAACATTGCCCAGATCCATTAGAGGAGTCACTATCTATGGCAGCTATAGCCTTATGAAATGTATCTCTGAATTAGTAAAACTACAGATGACTCTTGATCTATGGACTACAGAATGGATGTTGTGTTAGCAGATGTGAAAATAACATTAATCTTTTTTTACATATCCACTAGAGCTCTTGAGTGATGAGGTATAATGTCAACAAACACTAATATTTTGAAATGACTTTTTTTTCTAAGCAGTAGTTCTCAACAATGGGCTTAAAATATTCAGTAAACCATGCTGCAAATAGAAGTACTGTCGTTCAGGCTTTGTTGTTCCACTTATAGACGACAAGCAGAGTATATGTAGCATAATTCTTAAGGGCTCTAGGATTTTCAGAATGGTCAATAAGCATTGGCTTCAACTTTATTACCAGCTGCATTAGTCCTTAATAAGAGAGCCAGCCTGTTCTTTGAAGCTCTGAAGCCAGGCATTGACTTCTCCCTAACTGTGAAAGTCCTAGATGGCATCTTCTTTCAGTAGAAGGCTATTTTGTCTACATTGAATATCTATTCCTTAGTGTAGCCACCTTCATCAACTGTCTTAGCCAGATCTGGATATCTTGCCATAGCTTCTGTATCAGCCCTTGCTACTTCACCTTGCACTTTTATGTTATGAAGATGTCTTCTTTCCTTAAACCTCATGAACCAACCTCTGCTAGCTTCCAGACTTTCTTCTGCAGCTTTCTCACCTCTCTCAGTCTTCACAGAATTGAAGAGAGTTATGGCCTTGCTCCAGATTAGGCTTTGTCTTACGGGAATGTGTTGGTTTGATCTGTCGAGATAACTTAAACTTTCTCCTTATCAGCAATAAGGCTGTTTTATTTTCTTATCATTTGTGTGTTCAGAAGTGCCACTCCGCTGAGTAGCACTTTTGATTTTCTTCCAGAATTTTTCCATTACAACTTAGCTGTTTGGTGCCAGAGGCCTAACTTTCAGCCAGTCTCAGCTTTTGATGTACCTTTCTCACTAAGCTTCATCATTTCTATCTTTTGATCAAAAGTCAGAGATATATGACTCCTTTCACTTGAATGATTGAAGGTCAATGTAGGGTTATTAACTGGCCTAATTTCAATATTGTTTTGTCTAGGGGAATCATGAGGTTCATAGAGAGTGAGAGTTGGGGGAACAGCCAGTCAATGGAGCCGTCAGAACACACACATTTAGCAATTAAGTTTTCCATCTTATATGAGCATGGTTTGTAGTGTCCCAAAACAATGACAATGGTAACATCAAAGATCACTCATCACAGATAACCATAACAGATATAATAATAATAAAGTGTGAAATATGAGAATTACCAAAATGTGAGAGAGATATAAAGTGAGCAGATGCTGTTGAAAAATGACACTGATAGGCTTGCTGGATACAGGGTTGCCACAAATCTTCAATTGGTAAAAAAGAATGCAACATTTGCAAAGTGCAATAAAGTGAAGCGCAATAAAATGAGGTATACGTATATAAGAAGCAGCTACTACCTCTAGGGCTGAGGCAAACTATACAAAGAGGGAGCAAATTTTAAGAGAGCCCCTCTCCTCAAGAGCTGAGATGCAGACTTTGTTGGAGAGGGTATGACTATAGCCCACTGATGGCAGAAATTGCATTGAAATGCTGCAGGACAAAGCTGTCAAACAGAAAACTGCCCCTGGAATGATGACCATGCTTTTCGGGAAGCCATTTTCTGGGGGATGAGTAGAACTCAGTGGGAAGCTATTGGCTTGGGTGCTCATGAGGCTAGCTAGACTGAGCCTGGCCAGAATGCTGGTAGAACTTACTGGGAATCTACCTGTGGAGGTGTTGTGAAAACAGCTGAGATGCCAGCAGAATTTCATGGTATGTTGTCTGCTGGGGTGCTTGCAAAATTTGCCAGTAAGCTGGATATAGTGCCAGTGGAACTGTATACGAAGCTGCCTCCAGGGGAAATGAGCACCACTAAGCATCCTGCACACTGCACAAGTGCTACAGGAACAAGGAAAGAGAGGAAGCATGTCAGAACCTGGAAAAGAAGAGAAGTCTCTCCTGCAGTTTCTCTTCAGCACCTTCTACTGACAAAGCTTTACATCAAGCCAGCTGGTAAAGGAGAGACATTACCAAGGTCCAGCTCCATTAACAAAGCAGGGCAATGATGAAGGGTGGATTTGATGCTGAAAGGGAATAAGTTGACAGCTAGCACAAGAACTAAGGAAAGTACCTAGGTCAATGATGGTACCACTTACTGAGATGGGGAACCAAGGAGGAGTTGTTTGGGTTAAGATTGAGAATTCGCTTTGAGTGTGTTAATTTTGAGATGCCTAGGAGACTCTTAAGTGAAAGTTTTGATTATCCAGATAAATATGTAAAGCTGGTGCTCAGAGAGAGAGGAAGGGGCTATTTCCAACAAATGGTGCAGGAACAGTTGCAAATCCCCATAAAAAATCAGAACCTCAACCTACATATTGTATCTTATATAAAAATTAGCTAAGCTTGGATCAGATCATAGCACTATATGAAACTTAAATTGTGAAACTTCTGGAAGAAAAAATGGATATGGTGTGTGCAGTATTGGGCTAGGCAAATATTTCTTAGACATAACGTCAAAGCCATAACATGTAAAATAAACTAATAAATTTGACTTCATCAAAGTTTAAAACTTCTGTTCTTTGAAAAACATTAAGAGAATGAAAAGATAAGCTGCAGACTAGGAGAAAATATTTGCAAATTGTAGGCTGGGCACAGTGGCTCATGCCTGTAATACCAGCACTTTGGGAGATCAAGGCAGGTGGATCATGAGGTCAGGAGATCAAGACCATCCTGGCTAACACAGCGAAACCCCATCTCTACTAAAAATACAAAAAAATTAGCCAGGTGTGTTGGCAGGCGCCTGTAGTCCCAGCTACTCGGGAGGCTGAGGCAGGGGCAGGGTGTGAACCCGAGGGTGGAGCTTGCAGTGAGCCGAGATTGTGCCACTGCACTGCAGCCTGGGTGACAGGGCAAGACTCTGTCACAAAAAAAAAAAAAAGAAAGAAAAAAGAAAAGAAAAGAAAAAATATTTGCAAATTGTATATCTGACAAATAATTCATATCCAAAACTCAAAAATAAGAAAATAAACAACCTAATGAAAAATGTAAAAATTTGAGCAGCCACTTCACTAAGGAAGATACCCAGGTGCTCACTGTGGCAGCACATATACTAAAATTGGAATGATACAGAGATTAGCATGGCCCCTGCACAAGGATGACACGTGAACACATCAAGTGGTTCATGTCTTTAAATGAAGATGCCCAGATGGCAAATAAGTACATGAAAAGTGTTCAACACCAATAAGCTCTAGGGAAATGCAAGTGAAAACTATACTGAGATATCACTACATACCTTTTAGAATGGCTGATTAAACAAAAACTGACAACATTAAATGCTAATGGGGATGCAGAAGCAACTGGAATGCTCATATTTCTGGTAAGAGAAAAAACTGGAAAACACTTTTACTTGGCAGTTTTTATAAAATCAAATTAAACATATGCTTATAATATGATGCAATAATCCCACTCCAAGGCATTTATCAAAGGGAAATGTAAAATTATGTTCCCACAAAAATTCATAGGCACATATTGTACTTACCTGAATCTTCAGTAGAATGTTGACTAGGAATGCTGAGAATGGTGGACATGTTTTGTTTTTGAACTTAATGGGGAAACACTCAATTTTTTAGCATTAAGTAGATTATTAGCTACAGCTTTTTTTTGGTAGATGCCCTTTATCAGGTTGAGAAAGTACCCAAGTACCCATCTATTCTTATTTTGCTGAAAGGAATAGATGTTGAATTTTGCTGATGCTTCTTGCACATCTGTTGAGATGATCACATGGTTTTTCTACTTTTTTTAAAATTATAATTTAAGTTCTAGGGTACATGTGCACAATGTGCAGGTTTGTTACATATGTAAACATGTGTCTTGTTGGTGTGCTGCACCCATTAACTTGTCATTTACATTAGGTATATCTCCTAATGCTATCCCTCCCCCTTCCCCTCACACCAAGACAGGCCCCGGTATGTGATGTTCCCCTTCCTGTGTCCAAGTGTTCTCATTGTTCAATTCCCACATATAAGTGAGAAGATGCAGTGTTTGGTTTTCTGTCCTTGTGATAGTTTGCTGAGAATGATGGTTTCCAGCTTCATCCATGTCCCTACAAAGGACGTGAACTCATCCTTTTTTAAGGCTGCATAGTATTCCATGGTGTATATAAGCCACATTTTCTTAACCCAGTCTATCATTGGTGGGCATTTGGGTTGGTTCCAGGTCTTTGCTGTTGTGCATAGTGCCACAATAAACATACGTGTGCATGTGTTCTTTATAGCAGCATGATTTATAATCCTTTGGGTATATACCCAGTAATGGGATGGCTGGGTCAAATGGTATTTCTAGTTCTAGATCCTTGAGGAATCGCCACACCGTCTTCCACAATGGTTGAACTAGTGTACAGTCCCACCGACAGTGTAAAAGTGTCCTATTTCTCCATATCCTCTCCAGCACCTGTTGTTTCCTGACTTTTTAATGATCACCATTCTAACTGGTGTGAGATGGTATCTCATTGTGGTTTTGATTTGCATTTCTCTGATGGCGAGTGATGATGCGCATTTTTTCATGTGTCTGTTGGCTGCATAAATGTCTTCTTTTGAGAAGTGTCTGTTCATATCCTTTGCCCACTTTTTGGTGGGATTGTTTGTTTTTTTTTGTAAGTTTGTTTGAGTTCTTTGTAGGTTCTGGATATTAGCCCTTTGTCAGATGAGTAGATTGCAAAAATTTTCTCCATTCTATAGGTTGCCTGTTTACTCTGATGGTAGTTTCTTTTGCTGTACAGAAGCTCTTTAGTTTAATTAGATCCCATTTTTCAATTTTGGCTTTTGTTGCCATTGCTTTTGGTGTTTTACATATGAAGTCTTTGCCCATGCCTATGTCCTGAATGGTATTGCCTAGGTTTTCTTCTAGGATTTTTATGGTTTTAGGTCTAACATTTAAGTCTTTAATCCATCTTGAATTAATTTTTGTATAAGGTGTAAGGAAGGGATCCAGTTTCCACTTTCTACATGTGGCTAGCCAATTTTCCCAGCACCATTTATTAAATAGGGAATCCTTTCCCCAATTCTTGTTTTTGTCAGATTTGTCAAAGATCAGATGGCTGTAGATGTGTGGTATTATTTCTGAGGGCTCTGTTCTGTTCCATTGGTCTATATCTCTGTTTTGGTACCAGTACCATGCTGCTTTGGTTACTGTAGCCTTGTAGTATAGTTTGAAGTCAGGTAGCGTAATGCCTCCAGCTTTGTTCTTTTTGCTTAGGATTGTCTTGGCAATGTGGGGTCTTTTTTGGTTTCATATGAACTTTAAAGCAGTTTTTTCCAATTCTGTGAAGAAAGTCATTGGTAGCTTGATGGGGATGGCATTGAATCTATAAATTACCTTGGGCAGTATGGCCATTTTTCACGATGTTGATTCTTCCTATCCATGAGCATGGAATATTCTTCCATTTGTTTGCGTCCTCTTTTATTTCGTTGAGCAGTAGTTTGTAGTTCTCCTCGAAGAAGTCCTTCACATCCCTTCTAAGTTGGATTCCTAGGTATTTTATTCTCTTTGCAGCAATTGTGAATGGGAGTTCACTCATGATTTGACTCTCTGTTTGTCTGTTCTTGGTGTATAGGAATGCTTGTGTTTTTGGCATATTGATTTTGTATCCTGAGACTTTGCTGAAGTTGCTTATCAGCTTAAGGAGATTTTGGGCTGAGATGATGGGGTTTTCTAAATATACAATCATGTCATCTGCAAACAGGGACAAATTGATTTCCTCTTTTCTTAATTGAATACCCTTTATTTCTTTCTCCTGCCTGATTGCCCTGGCTAGAACTTCCAACACTATGTTGAATAGGAGTGGTGAGAGAGGGCATCCCTGTCTTGTGTCAGTTTTCAAAGGGTATGCTTCCAGTTTTTGCTCATTCAGTGTAATATTGACTGTGGGTTTGTCATAAATAGCTCTTATTATTTTGAGATACGTTCCATCAATACCGAATTTATTGAGAGTTTTTAGCATGAAGGACTGTGGAATTTTGTCAAAGGCCTTTTCTGCATCTATTGAGGTAATTATGTGGTTTTTGTCTTTGGTTCTGTTTATATGCTGGATTACGTTTATTGATTTGCGTATGTTCAACCAGCCTTGCATCCCAGGTATGAAGCCCACTTGATCATGGTGGATAAGCTTTTTGATGCGCTGCTGGATTCAGTTTGCCAGTATTTTATTGAGGATTTTTGCATCGATGTTCATCAGGGATATTGGTCTAAAATTCTCTTTTTTTGTTGTGTCTCTGCCAGGCTTTGGTGTCAGGATGATGTTGGCCTCATAAAATGAGTTAGGGAGGATTCCCTCTTTTTCTGTTGATTGGAATAGTTTCAGAAGGTATGCTATCAGCTCCTCCTTTTACCTCTGGTAGAATTCTGCTGTGAATCCATCTGATCCTGGACTTTTTTTGATTGGTAGGCTATTAATTATTGCCTCAATTTCAGAGTCTTATTGGTCTATTCAGGGATTCAACTTCTTCCTGGTTTAGTCTTGGGAAGGTGTATGTGTCCAGGAATTTATCAATTTCTTCTAGATCTTAGTTATTTCTTGCCTTCTGCTAGCTTTTGAATGTGTTTGCTCTTGCTTCTCTGGTTCTTTTAATTGTGATGTTAGGGTGTCAATTTTAGATCTTTCCTGCTTTCTCTGGTGGGCATTTAGTGCTATAAATTTCCCTCTACACACTGCTTTAAATGTGTCCCAGAGATTCTGGTATGTTGTGTCTTTGTTCTCATTGGTTTCAAAGAATATCTTTATTTCTGCCTTTATTTCGTTATGTATCCAGTAGTCATTTAGGAGCAGGTTGTTCAGTTTCCATGTAGTTGAGTGGTTTTGAGTGAGTTTCTTATTCCTTAGTTCTAGTTTGATTGCACTGTGGTCTGAGAGACAGTTTGTTATAATTTCTGTTCTTTTACAATGCTGAGGAATGCTTTACTTCCAACTATGTGGTCAATTTTGGAATAAGTGCGATGTGGTGCTGAGAAGAATGTATATTCAGTTGATTTCGAGTTCTGTAGATGTCTATTAGGTCCGCTTGGTGCAGAGTTGAGTTCAATTCCTGGATATCCTTGTTAACTTTCTGTCTTGTTGATCTATCTAATGTTGACAGTGGGGTGTTAAAGTCTTCCATTATTATTGTGTGGGATTCTAAGTCTCTTTGTAAGTCTCTAAGGACTTGCTTTATGAATCTGGGTGATCCTGTATTGGGTGTATATATATTTAGGATAGTTAGCTCTTCTGGTTGAATTGATCCCTTTACCATTATGTAATGGCCTTTTTTGTCTCTTTTGATCTTTGTTGGTTTAAAGTCTGTTTTATCAGAGACTAGGATTGCAACTCCTGCCTTTTTTTTGTTTTCCATTTGCTTGGTAGATCTTCCTCCATCCCTTTATTTTGAGCCTATATGTGTCTCTGCATGTGAAATGGGTCTCCTGAATACAGCACACTGATGGGTCTTGACTCTTTTTGCCAGTCTGTGTCTTTTAATTGGAGCATTTACCCTCATTTACATTTAAGGTTAATATTATTATGTGTGAATTTGATCCTGTCATTATGATGTTATCTGGTTATTTTGCTCATTAGTCAATCCAGTTTCTTCTTAGCATTGATGGTCTTTACATTTTGGCATGTTTTTGCAGTGGCTGGTACCGGTTGTTCTTTTCCATGTTTAGTGCTTCCTTCAGGAGCTCTTGTAGGGCAGGCCTGGTGGTGAAAAAATCTCTCAGCATTTGCTTGTCTGTAAAGGATTTTATTTCTCCTTCACTTATGAAACTTAGTTTGGCTGGATATGAAATTCTGTGTTGAAAATTATTTTCTTTAAGAATGTTGAATATTGGCCCCCATTCTCTTCTGGCTTGTAGAGTTTCTGCCGAGAGATCCGCTGTTAGTCTGATGGGCTTCCCTTTGTGGGTAACCTGACCTTTCTCTCTGGCTGCCCTTAACATTTTTTCCTTCATTTTAACTTTGGTGAATCTGACAATTATGTGTCTTGGAGTTGCTCTTCTCGAGGAGTATCTTTGTGGTGGTCTCTTTTTTTCCTGAATTTGAATGTTGGCCTGCCTTGCTAGGTTAGGGAAGTTCTCCTGGATAATATCCTGCAGAGTGTTTTCCAACTTGGTTCCATTCTCCCCATCACTTTCAGGTACACCAGTCAGACATAGATTTGGTCTTTTTACATAGTCCCATATTTCTTGGAGGCTTTGCTCATTTCTTCTTAGTTTTTTTTTCTCTAAACTTCTGTTCTTGCTTCATTTCATTCATTTGATCTTCAATCACTGATATGCTTTCTTCCAGTTGATCGAATTGGTTACTGAAGCTTGTGCATTCATCATGTAGTTCTCGTGCCATGGTTTTCAGCTCCATCAGGTCATTTAAGGACTTCTCTACACTGCTTATTCTAGTTAGCCATCCGTCTAATCTTTTTTCAAGGTTTTTAGCTTCTTTGCGATGGGTTCGAACTTCCTCCTTTAGCTCGGAGAAGTTTGATCGTCTGAAGCCTTCTCTCAACTTGTCAAAGTCATTCTCCATCCAGCTTTGTTCCATTGCTGGTGAGGAGCTGTATTCCTTTGGAGGGGGAGAGGCACTCTGATTTTTAGAATTTTCAGCTTTTTTGCTCTGTTTTTCCCCATCTTTGTTGTTTTATCTACCTTTAGTCTTAGATGATGGTGATGTACAGATGGGGTTTTGGTGTGGATGTCCTTTCTGTTTGTTAGTTTTCCTTCTAACAGTCAGGACCTCTCAGCTGCAGGTCTGTTGGAATTTGCTGGAGGTCCACTCCGGACACTGTGTGCCTGGGTATCAGCAGTGGAGGCTGCAGAACAGCGAATATTGCTGAACAGCGAATGTTGCTGCCTGATCATTCCTCTGGAAGCTTCATCTCAGAGGGATACCCAGCCGTGTGAGGTGTCAGTCTGCCCCTGCTGGGGGGTGCCTCCCGGTAGGGAGGCTACTCACGGGTCAGGGACCCACTTGAGGAGGCAGTCTGTCCATTCTCAGATCTCAAACTCCGTGCTGGGAGAACCACTGCTCTCTTCAAAACTCAACTGGAAATGCAGAAATCACCTGTCTTCTGCATCGCTCACACTGGGAGCTGTAGACTGGAGCTGTTCCTATTTGGCCATCTTGGAACCCAGACTGGTTTTTCTTCTTTAATGTACTGATCTGGTGAACTACATTGATGATTTTTTTTAAATTATTATTTATTTATTTATTTATTTATTTATTTATTTATTGAGACTGATTTTTGCTCATGTTGCCCAGGCTGGAGTGCAATGGCGCGATGTCAGCTCACTGCAAGCTGTGCCTCCCAGATTCAAATGATTCTCCTATCTCAGCCTCCTGAGTAACTGGGATTACAGGGACCCACCACCATATCCAGATAATTTTTTTGTATTTTTAGTAGAGATGGGGTTTCACCATGTTGGCCAGGCTGGTCTCAAACTCCTGACCTCAGTTGCTCCACCCACCTTGGCCTCCCAAAGTGCTGGGATTACAGGTGTGAGCCACCACGCCCAGTTGATGAATTTTTATTTGGAAATTATTTTAGATTCAGGGGCTACATGTGCATGTTTGTTACATGGATATATTGCATACTGCTGGCATTCGGGCTTCTATTGAAATCACATTGATGGATTTTTAAATTTCAATTTAGCCTTGTATTTCTGGCATAAACCCCACTTGGTCATTATGTATAATACTTTTTATATGTCACTGGATTTGATTTACTTATATTTTGTTGATAATTTTTGTGTCTGTGTTCATGAGGCTCTTATTCTGTAGTTTTCTTTTCTTGTCATGTCTTTGTCTGGTTTTAGAATGATGTAATTCTGGCTTTATGAAGTGATTTGGGAAGTATTCCGTCTTCTATTTTCTGGTAGAGTCTGTGTAGAATTGGTATATATTTCTTAAATGTTTGGTTGAGTTTATCATTGAATTGATCTGGTCCTTCTTTTTCTATATTGGTAGTATTGTGTCTTGGTGAGATTTGGGGCTTTAGAATCAGGCAACCCCAGATTAGTATCTGACTTTGTTAATTTCTCCCTGTGAGACATTGGGCAAGTCACAGATTCTCTCTGAGCCTGTTTCCTCATCTATAAAATGGGTAATTGTGATAATTGAATAATAATATACATCAGTTGTTCAGTACTCTACTACATGTATTTATATGTAATACATGTATGAAATTTACATATATTAAATTATTTAAATTTTACTATCATACTATTCTGTTTACAGTATATATCAGTACTATATTATCATAATCCTTATTTTACAGATAAGAAAGCTATTGGAGGCCAGGCATGGTGGCTCACGCCTGTAATCCCAGCACTTTGGGAGGCCGAGGTGGGTGGAACATGAGGTCGGGAGATAGAGACCACCCTGGCTAACACCGTGAAACCCCGTCTCTACTAAAAATACAAAAAAAAAACAAAAAAAAAAAAAAAAACAAAAACTGTTAGCCAGGTATGGTGGCAGGCACCTGTAGTCCCAGCTACTCCGGAGGCTGAGGCAGGAGAATGGTGTGAACCCAGGAGGCGGAGCTTGCAGTGAGCCAAGATTGCGCCACTGCACTCTAGCCTGGGCGACAGAGCAAGACTCCGTCTCAAAAAAAAAAAAAGAAAAAAGAAAGCTATTGGAAAGCAAGATTAAATAACTTGCCCAGGGTTACTCAGGTTATGCATAATAGAGTCAGTATTCAGATTGAGGCTGTCCAGTTCCTGAGTCCTGGCTTTTAAGCACTAAGCTATACTAATGATAATACTTATCTTTCAGAGTGCTATGCGTGTTAAACGAGGCAATTCATGAAAGTGGCTGAATTTGTGCTAGTATAGACTTGTTGTTTAGTAAACGTGTATTATTATTAATAATGTGAATTTTTATTATTTTGAAATGAAACTACTTTGGAATGGTTTCTACCTGAAAGATATTTTAGTACATATAATCAAATACTGCATTGAAGTTTGTTCCAGTGAAATTCCATGAGCATTTGCCACACTTTACAACATGATATTGAGAATATCAAAGCTTATTAGGAAAAGCAACTTGAATTCTTGTCCTGGTTCTGCATTGTCTTTTGGTGCAATCCTGGTAATTAAGTCTCTTGTAATATTAGTGAATCTGTAGCAAAAGGATAGGTAAAATATCTGTTTTGATCACTTTGACCTAAGTTGTTGACTGGTTTATAAAAGACAGGCTGGACACGGTGGCTCACGCCTGTAATCCCAGAACTTTGGAGGCCGAGGCAGGTGGATTATAAGGTCAAGAGTTCAAGACCAGCCTGGCCAATGTGGTGAAACCCCATCTCTACTAAAGCTACAAAAATTAACTGGGCATGGTGGCACGTGCCTGTAATCCCAGCTACTTGGGAGGCTGAGGCACGAGAATCGCTTGAACCTGGGAGGCAGATGTTGCAGTGAGCCAAGATCATACCACTGTATTTCAGCCTGGGCGACAGAGCGAGACTCTGTCTCAAAAAAAAAAAAAGGAAAAACAACAAAAAAAAGACAAGTACCTGAAGATACTATGAAAAGTACAAGGTTGTGCTAATATTAAATATAGATATTTGGTGTTCTGTGATAAGAATCAGAATATTTTGTTGATATATAAATATTTTGGGATTATTTTGAACATACTTGTACTGTGATTGGTACACGTTGATGCCAGTTAATTTTAGGTTTTCAGGCCTTTATGGTATTTATTCGGGTGTATCTTTTCTTTTAGCCTGACGAGGTCATGACTGCTGTATGCCAAATGTTAGATTCATTCTGTTTATTTAAAAATTATAAAGGATAACCTAAAAAATGGAATCACAGTTTCAATAAGTACTTTGTCCTATGTTTCAGTTAGCAAAACTTATTTTATGGTTTTTTAAATGATAAACCTCATTATATCGAAATATATAGCAAAATGACATAGTGTATGTATGCCATTAATTAAGACTGGGAATTACATGGAAGATTGGCACACTGGGCATTTTGACAGAGGGTAAGAAAAGAAAAGCCTTTGGTTATGAAGTGTAGTAGTTATTGTGTAGATTGTCAAATGCTAAGGAACAATGCTCACTCTGGGAAAATATAATAACATATTATATTGTTTTGTGAATTGTAGCTGACTTTGGCCTGGCAAAGCAAAAACAAGAAAACAGTAAACTCACGTCTGTTGTTGGAACAATCCTGTATTCTTGGTAAGGACAATTATTTTATGGCTCTCGAACATCATACTTAACTGATTTGGGCTTTCATTTCTATTATTGACTTGCAAAGGAAAGAGGATTTCAGGAAAGAAAGCTTATTTTATAAGTTTTTTTCAATTATCTAGATAATACACATTACTAGAATTGTGGATCATTATGTATGCTTAAAACAACCACCACAAAAATAATCTTTCTTCTAAGGTATCACTACCCCTCATGGGGATTCCTTTTATAAATTGTAAATTGAAATGATCCTTGGCATATAGTAGGTGTGCAATAGTTGTTGAATGAAACTGAGAATGAAGTAATAGATATGCTACCCAACATATTTGGAACATTTTATTGTACTCACTTGTATGTATGACTCTTTTTCTCTTTTCTACCTATAAACATTCAAGTGCAGGGCAAGGATTTTTGTACCCTAATACCTATCCTAGTATCTGGCAAATAATAGGCACCGATTAACTTTACTGCATGAATGAATAAATAATGACATATATACTTAGACATATGTTTACAAAGTAAGTTGGTTCTTGGATAAATGAGTGTTTATTTTTTGATAAATGGAGACACTTTTAAATTCTTTGACGTACTTTGAGGTTCCTTTGCAAGCCACTAATTATTATGAAGTAAGAATCTTCTTTTGCTGATCACATGTCATTTGTCTGAATCTGTTGAAATTAGCAAATAGTTATGGTAGTGTGTAGAAAAGCAGATTTCAGGGAAATATTCTGGAATCTGATTCAACAGGTCAAGCAATCAAGACACAATCATTCTTTTAAAATCTAGCCTATAGTTGTACAATTGTGTCCTGGGGAATTAAACACGACTCTTCTTGAGGAAGAGTAGAAATTGTCTAAAAATCACAGCCTAATTTTACAAAGTCCTTTCATGCAGAAGTGTTCAGAATAATGTTTTAAGAGGGTGACTTTTCATTTTATCTTACTGGAAATGTTTTACATCTTTATTCTTGAAACTGGTTTCATGAGAAGATGCAAAGAAACTGTGGCAAGCTAATAAGTACCTTGTAAGCTGTAAGCTTATATGATGTCTACTTAACCTCTTAACAGTAAGTCTGACCTACTCGTTACTTGCTGACAGAAGAATAATTTTCTTTTGTTTCACTGTGCACTGTTTTTATAAAATAAACAATAAAAATTTGATCATAGAAGTGTCAAGTAATCATATATTTCTGAACAGATTTGATTGTCAGTCAAATTGCAGAACAATTAACACACAAACTTAAATTTCTGCTGGTCATACTTGGTGAAAGCATATTTTTATTCCTGAGACTTTGAATTAAGTTTAGAATTGCTTATATGATAGTATCAACTGTGTGTGTGTATGTGTGTGTGTTTGTGTGTGCGTGTGTGTGTGTAAGAGAAAGATAGAGAATCCATAGAATATGTAGAAAGAAATCCAAAACATGACAACTTTTTTGCCGTATTAGCCCAAACATGGCTTCACATTTTCATTTAATTTTTAAATTAACTGAAGAGTTTGTAAGCTGAACCTACTCATATAGATAAACTATTATTTCATGTATGTGTACTATAATTGTTTTAATAACATGTACAGTATATCTTACCACCATTTATCTTTCTGTCAACCTCCTATTCTTTTAAATTGCTTTAAAAATTTCTTTCTACTCCCTTCTCTCATCTCTCCAAGTTATTAGAAATGCCCCCTGTCTGATGGGTTTTACTATGAATTTGGGTTCACAAACCATCTTTCTTGCTAGTTTTTGATGTCCTTAGCTGAGTATGGAGTTAAAAGAACTCAGTCCTACATCATATTGTGTTTCTTTCTTAGTTTGGGATTCTCTAAAAGCAGAATCTGAGACAAGAATTTGAGTGAAATAGTTTATTTGGGAGGAGGTCCCAGGAAACACTATTAGGAGAGCGGTGAAGTGAGATTTGGAGGGAAAGCAGCCAGTACAGTGAACATTAATAATTAGGTTCATAGAGTATTATCTGGGATATAGTATAGAGCAGGGGTGTCCAATCTTTTGGCTTCTCTGGGCCACATTGGAAGAGGAAAAATTGTCTTGGACCACATGCAAAATACACCGACACTAAAGATAGCTTTTATGAGCTTTTAAAAATGGAAAAAAACTGAAGTGTTTTAAGAAAGATTTATGCGTTTGTGTTGGGCCACATGCAGTCCGTGGGCCGGGGGTTGGACTAACTTGGTGTACAGGGTGTTTTAGAGTTGCCCTGTGTGCCAGATGAAAGGTTGGAGTATTTTTTTTCCAATCACAAGGGGGAGCCCTCAGCATCTGACTGAGGGCTGCTCTGGGAAGCTTGTGCCCAGGTGCTTATGGCATGCCAGGGCATGGGCTAGAGGCACTCCAGGCAGAGAGCTGGAGGGGCATTGCTTGAGGTATGATGCCATAAACTTGTACTGGAAATGTGAGTGGGAGTCTGGCTAGGGTCCAGACATTCTAGAATTTTTTTGTAATTCTGTAATTCTTACTTTCATGTAAGTTTTCTGAGCTTGTCTGAGCCTGTAAATGTGGACCTGGGATGTGGACATTTGGATGCCATAGAGATGCCTAGGCACCCCTTTCCCTTCCCTGCGGGGTCCCCAGAGTTTGATGTCCCCATGTCATTTTGCCCTTTCCATTTGCTTTTGCTTCCTCAGATATTAACTTATTGAAAGGAAGAAAGGTCTCTTTGTCAACTCTTGTAGGAAGTACCTCAGAGCATTCTTTATTCTGTATTCAGCTGGTGGATAAAGGGTTTGTAGGCACATTGCTGGACCAATTGTACTGGAACAGAAGGTCAGTAAAGGTTCTTTTCATTGATCTGATATGATTCATTATTAGGCAGGTTTTTGTTATCCCTCTCAAGGGAAAAAAAATCTCCAAATATGCTACTTGTTTCCATTTTTTATCTCTATGTCTTCCTCCAATTCCAGAAAAGAAAATTACACACCATATTCAACTTCATTTTCTGAGAACAGTATAGAGTTTGGGGCTCTGGGAAGCATTTTCAGCTAGTTCTTCACAGAACATATATGGGATTTATGAAGCTAATATGATGTATAAAATACAATAAAAGTTTTCCAATAAAAATGGAAACTTCAACTATTCCTGGAATGGGAATTATTACCCTATTGCTTAGTATAATCTCATTCATATTATGACACTGGATAATTAGTAGAGAAGTTCATGAAGTTTAAATTGGATGCATCAAAATAAACCTGTAGGTAAACCTGGTTAAGTAGAGACAAAGTGAAGTATGTCTACTAACTGCACTTCTTAAATTTAAAAAATATATATTTTTATTTTTTGATATATAAAGTTGATAGAATTCTTAAGAAAGCTATAATACACTCAAAATTTTGAGAATTTTAAGTGACTTAAAACACTTAAGTGACTTCCAGCTGCTCGTGCAAAGACCAAGCCCTCACTATGGCCACAAGTACACAACCTTGCATTCTCTGGCCTCTGCTAAGTTCTTCAGCTTTACCACAAACCAAACTTTAACAATTCCTAGCTGTTTCATCTGGGCTCCCTCTGACCACAGGACCTTTGCACATGCAGCTCCCTTTGCCTGGAATACTCTTTTCCACTTGTCATCTGGTTAATTCTTACCTGCCTTCAGCTGAACCCCCTTAGACAAGGTGTATTTCCTCTGATCTACACACTCCATGTACTTTTCCTTCACACAATTGAACTTCTTGTTGATTTTGTGATTAGCAATGATGATTTTGTTCATTACAATCCCCAGCAGTCCTAAGTCTGGTACTTTAAAACTCACAAGTAATATTTGCTACATGAATGATCCAGTACTTGCATGATTATAAACATTACTGGAAATAACATATTACAAAGCAAATTGTTTCTTTTTGTTGTAACACACTTTAAATTCCCAATCCTTTCCCTTCTTTCTGTTCCTTCAGATCTCCAAAATGCTCCTCCTTGGAATGCTCTTCCTTCAGAGACAGCTGCAGAACTTACTTCTTTACTTCATTCTGCTCTTTGCTTAAATGCCACTTATGTAGAGAGGACTTCCATGGTCACTTGCCCCAAACAGCAACCTCCCTTCGGATTCTATCCCTGTATCCTGCTTTACGTTTTCATAGCCCTTGCCTCTATGTGACCTTATATTGTACTTGAATTGGCTTATAGTGTGTCTCTCCACTACACACAAGCTCTGTGAGCACAGGACTTTTGTCACCTTTGTTCACCACTGTTTCCCCAGGACCTAGAGGAGTCGACTAGCAGAATCTTAAGAAATACTTTGAATCATTGAAGTGAAAACAAGTCTTTTTTCATAATAATATGATAAAAATTAGTGTATATTTTTATTGGGTTCTAATATATCTTTGAGCTGTTCTGATTTTTACCCTAATAAAGCCTGAAGGCTTTTCATTTGAGATAGTAAGTACCTTGATGGCAGGGTCTATTTTATTTTATTTTTTTCTCTTTGCTATTTTATCTTTATATATTACACGATTACTAGAACAGTGAGTAAATGAGATCAAGTAGGATGTTAACGTTTTAACAAAATAAAATGTGGAAAGATTATATATTATAGAAATATGTATTCTTCAGTGACCAATAAAGTGGCCCTGAGGGAAGTTTCAAAAAAGAGATGTATTAGGTCATTCTTGGATTGCTATAAAGAAATACCTGAGACTGGGTAATTTATAAAGAAAAGAGGTTTAACTGGCTCATGGTTCTGCAGGCTGCACAGGAAGCATGATGCTGGTATCTTCTTGTCTTCTGGGGAGGCCCCAGGAAACTTACATTCACAGTGGAAGGTGAAGGGGGAGCAGGCACATCACATGGCCAGAGCAGGAGCAGGAGACAGGAAGTGAAGAAGTGCCACACACTTTTAAACAACCAGATCTCATGAGAACCCACTCACTGTCAGAACAACAGCACTAAGGGGATGGTATTAAACCATCCAGGAGAAATCCACCCCCATGATCCAACCACTTTCTACTAGGCCCCACCTTCAACACTGGGGATAACAATGTGA